CGCACATATCTATCCAGAAGCAGCTTCCGCTACGGAAAGCAATTTTTATATGGATGATTACCTACAGGCATTTCCCGACGTGACGACGGCCGAAAGGATAGTAAACGATATGTATGAATTACATAAGCATGCTTCTTTCCAACTGAGGGGATGGGCTAGCAACCGACCCGAAGTTTTAAGTAATATGGAAAATAAATATAAGAGCGACAGTGCTTCGCTTGGAGATAAAGAGCACACAGAGCGCACGTTAGGTTTGATTTGGAATATCAAACGGGATATAATAAGTTTTTCCACAAGTCTTCGTAGCACACCGGAAGAGGTGATGGAGGGTTTACGACCGCCTACGAAGAGGGAGATAACTAGCGCTGTGATGTCAGTCTTCGATCCTTTGGGACTCGCATCACCCATAACGATTCAAGGGAAGTCGCTGATCCAGCAAGTATGGAGGACAGGCATCTCTTGGGATGAAGAAGTTTCACACGAGTTACACGTGTTATTTTGTAAATGGATATCGGAAGTGAAGAAATTAGGTCACTTAGAAGTACCTAGACCCGTTGCTGAAGGCATCGGCAAAGGAGAGTTACATACTTTCACGGATGCTAGTGAAAAAGCATACGCTGCCGCGGTGTATTACGTCACCACGGACGAGCAAGGAATAAGGCGGATTACGCTGATCGCCGCAAAGGCAAGAGTAGCGCCATTGAAACCAATTTCGATTCCAAGGCTTGAATTGCAAGCAGCTCTTATGGGCAGCAGACTGGCTGCTTCGGTTAGTGAAGAGAGCAAGTACGAGATGTCCGAGAGAGTGTTTTGGACAGACTCACGTACAGTGTTAGCGTGGATTAAGTCAGATCCTCGCGCTTTTAAACCATTCGTTGCTCATCGATTGGCTGAGATCGAAGATCACAGTAAGCCATGTGAATGGCGATGGGTTCCAACGTCACAAAACGTGGCAGACGACGCCACTAGAAGTTTTCCTTCCACCTTCGATGTAAGTCATCGCTGGTTTCAAGGACCTGAATTCCTCAGGAAAAGTCCTGATTTATGGCCCAAACAAGTGGACACCATAAATAGCTTAGAAACAGGTGAAGAAAAATCGCCAAAGGGCGTAAATACGTTAAGAAAGCAAGAACCGTTAAGTCTACCCGACTACGGACGATTTAGCAGCTTTAAGAAATTCCTTGGAGCAACTACACGCACCTTACAAGCGGTAGAAAAATTCAAGAGTTTAAGAAAGTCGGTTAAAGGACCCGACGACGCAACCGAAAAGTCGGTTATGTGTTCCAACAAAGTTTTAGCAAAGTCGGTTAAAGGACCCGATAGCGCGTTGGACACAGCGCTCTTGAAAAAGGCGGAAATATTAATTTGGAAATTCATTCGAGACGAGTGTTTTCATTCGGAAATAAAATGTTTGAAAGCAGGCAAAAGCGTTGAAAGAAGTTCACGCTTAAGTAAATTATCTATGGAAATAGGAGAGGATAACTTACTCCGTTTAAATGGACGTTTACCTTTCAAGTCTAATTTGACCGAGGAAAGTAGAAAACCTGTCATATTAGACGGTAAACACGAAATCGTTATAATGATGATTAGAGAAGTTCATCATCATTTTGGACACGCCAATCACCAGACGGTGATGAATGAGGTGAACCAGAAATTTTACGTCTTGAACTTGCGTAATGTAGTACGAAGTGTGTCACACCATTGTCAGTGGTGCAGGACATACAGGTCAAAGCCGCAAAACGTGCCACAAGGAAATATTCCTCTGGAAAGAATAGCTCATCATGAGCCACCTTTTACATGCTCAGCTGTAGATTATTTTGGTCCTATGAGTGTGACTATAGGAAGGCGACACGAAAAACGTTGGGGCGTTTTATTCACGTGTCTGACCACCAGAGCAGTACATCTGGAATTAGCAGCCTCAATGACACCAGCGTCAATGATAATGGCGTTAAGGCGATTTATCGCCAGAAGAGGAAAACCAGCCGTTATATACAGCGATAACGGGACAAATTTCAAAGCTGCAAATAAAGAATTATTGAAAGCATGCGAAGAATGCTATGAGGGCATGAAAAACGAGTCATTTAAGAAATATATTAAATGGAAATTTATACCTCCGGGAGCACCGCACATGGGTGGCGCCTGGGAGAGGTTAGTAAGATCGATTAAAATTGCGTTGACCGCTACGCTTAAGGAGAAGAGCCCACGAGAGGAGGTTCTACATACGTTACTTTTAGAAGCAGAGCATACGGTAAATTCCAGACCTCTGGTAACATTCAGTATGGATAGTCCTGAAGAGGGTTTGACACCCAATCATTTTCTTCTGGGACGCTCATGTGGTGATCGACCACCTGGATTATTTTTAGAGCGACATCTGACGGGTCAACTCAATTGGAAAGCTGCACAGAGGTTAGCCGACCATTTTTGGACAAGATGGCTGAAAGAATACATGCCTACGTTAATACCTCGAACAGGTGATAACGGCAAGTTCATGGAACCTAAAGAAGGCGATATCGTTTTGATAATAGATCATTCGTTGCCACGAAATACGTGGCCAAAAGGTAAAATTAGTAGAACGTTACCGGGACCAGACGGTCACACCAGAGTGGTTGACGTCATTACTAGCACAGGTATCTTGAGGAGACCTACATCCAGAATAATAGTCCTGGTACCCGCGACGCCTCCCAAATGATGGTGCTAACGCACGGGGGGAGATTGTTGGCGACGCGCCTATAAAAATGTTTCAGTTTATTAAATCAACCGATGACGTTGCTATGAAAAAAGGGGCAGTCACGAGCAACGACGCTCTGATAAGAGAATGCTTAGTTAAATCTTTAAGAAATGTCGAATTAATGATATGAAGGTCTTGGGTTCGACTCCCAGGCCGGACTAGTTTGTTTGTTTTCCTAAGTAATATCGCTTAATAAATTCGTAAGGAATTTAAGATATAAATTATGTTACCGGATTTGTTTCCCGGTTGAAATCATCTTTCAAATGATGTAAATTCATAAGAATATTAAAGTGAAGTTAAAGATCGGATTTGTTCCCCGGTCGAGATAATCACTCTGTGCATAGGCAGAATTAATGGATATTAATTGCATAAATGTTGTTTTGTATAAGTTTGATACGTTTTGTACGAAAACAAATGCCTATTTGTTATGATTGATTAATGAGAACATTCATTTATATTGTTATCTGATTAAAGATAGTTTCATACAGTTCGAAAATTGTATAAAGCATTTAATTTGCCTAATATGGTCAAAATTGGTGTATTTCATAATTTAATTTTTTCTGATAGCCGAGAGCCGTGCAAAAGTTAGTTGTTCAAATAGTGTGAGTTCATAGACGCACGCCAAGCCACGCCCTTAGGAGGCCGAATATGTAAAATTTAAAATGTTTGTAATTCAGTGATTTATGTAAAAATTACTTGTAAAATATTTCAGGTTAATTGTACGTGCTAAAAAGGTAAATTCTGTGTTATTTTCATGTGAAAATTCCTGTGTATAAGTGAAATAATGATAGTTTTGTATAAGAAATTTAAAAGTGTTTTAAATAGTGAAATAAATAGAAAAAATGTAAATTAAACTATTGTATTGGTTAGCTTATGTATAAATTCAAGTGAGAAACATTGTTTTAACTTTCTGTGTTAAATATTTAAGAAATTTCGATTTCGAACTTGTGAGTAAAATAGGCGGTTTTCGTTTAATAAATAAAAGGTTTTTTATGATATGAGGATATGATGTATATCATGGTGTAGATATTGTTTTGTACTACCTATATTGATAAATTGTATTTGTATATGATTTGAACAAATAAAGATATTGAGTGAAACGTGAGAGAGTAATAGTACAAATTCATGTAATTAAGTTGCGCAAGCGCGCAGATGGCGCGGCTCACTTTCGCGTATAGCTCTGGGGTAGCTTAGTGAACGGGTTTTATTGCAATTCGTTCGGGGAAGTTCGGAAATAGTTCGGGAATCGTTCGGGAATCCTTCGGGGGAAGTTCGGAAATAGTTCGGAAATAAATAAGAAAATCCGAGAAAAAGTTCAAGAAAAGTGAAAAACCAGCAGTATAGGGAAAAGTGATTACTCTCTCACGGAACGGTTTGAAGATAATTGCTGTTTCATTCCCAAGATCCTTTAAGTTATACAGTCCACATCGAAGAATTAAGGCGTCGGGACCGGGACGACTTCGGAAGACCCGTAATCCCCGTCTGAACCTACTTGCTGAAAAGGAAGAGGTTATCGCCCTAGTGTGTTACTCCGTTGCGGAGATCACATACGTTGTTCCCGAACCCAACGTAGGCGTGATAGGAGGCCGGATCGAGAGAAGCCTCGATTCCTGTTTCTTAGTACCCGATCCGCTAGGTCCTTTTCAATTGGTCCTTTTCAGGATCAAGAGGGACGCCCGAACCTGAGTTCCTTTTCAGAGAGACTTTGGTTGGGAAGTGTTAACGCATCTACCATATAGTCCTGACTTTGCAACCTCAGATTTTCACCTGTTTCAGTCACTTCAGAATTCTTCTGGTAGTGTTAGGTTAACATCAAGAGAGGACTGTCAAAACTACTTGTCGCATTTTTTGATCAAAAATCCCAAGATTTCTTCAGTAACGAGATTATGTCACTATCTACAAGATGACAAGTTAGTGAACAAAATGGCACATATATATATATTACAATTAAATACAAAACTTTGAAAAAAAAAAGTCTTGAATTTTTATATAATACGTAGAAAAATTTACCCGACTTTATATAAGAGTTAAAAAAACTTAAACAAAACGCTAAATTATTTTACTTTTTCCTGGTGATCCTGATCAGCATACTAGGATGAAGTTATTCAATTATTGCAGTGACTACAATCCTTGATGCGAAAGCAAATTTTCAAGGTAATTGACGGTCTACAAGTTGGTGAAAATTACATTAAAAGATTCTGTTACATAGATACACGCGAAGCTCATAAAAGCGTGTTAAAAACACGGTACAATGTCGTTTGATCAAGCTTACTTACTTCAGATCTATAGCGACGCCGTTGTTGAGCCATATCATTTCCGGTTTAGGATTCCCAACAGCCGCGCAATCGAAAGTCACTGACGCACCTGTAACAATAAACATTTAAAGTATATATTTGCTGTGTGATGACGACATAAGACAATTAAGAAATTTTTTAACAACAAAAATATAGTAACCGAGAAATTACATTCCATACATACTACTTCTTAATCTAGGGCCACTCAGACAAGTTAAGGCCAATACGCCCGTTCCATTCTACTGTACACTTCGTCCAAAATATAACAGAGTCCTCAACAAAGATCCCATTCATAAGTAAGACATTTCATCTTAGTCCATTAGACATTTAGGGTATCCACCGACTTTTTCTGCAAGCAGGGCGACGCGACGCCATTTGCGACGGAGGAGAAATATTTGTTATATCATAGCAAGGGAAGTTAATTTGTTCGGAATTTGTAAGAGTTCATGTTTCTATTTGAAACATTAGTTATATTATAAAATTAGCTGTTCCCTGCAATTTCGCCCGCGTGAAATTCATTACTTAATTTTTGTGCAGAACCTTTCTTTTATAAAATAAATATAGCGTAAGTTACCTATAAAATCAGCTGTCTGCAAGAGAAAGTCCCGTCAAAATCGGTCCAGCAGTTTCGGAGATTAGTTGAAACGAATAGTCAGACAGAAAAAAAATTAAAACTGTTTTTTTCGTTTTAGGTACCGTATCTACTTTCATATGCATTTGGTAAAAAGATTTCATTTTGACATTACAAACTGACACTTCAATTTTATTTATTTGTATAGATTAGAAATGAAAACCAAACTATGGATATTCCTAAAATTAGAAAAATTTAAAAAGAAAAAATTAAAAAGCAATCACGGAGGCATAGTTTTGTGTATTTAGACACTAGAAATCGGTATACTTTTATTTAAAACGCAATTTCTTAATTAAAATGACATTGTGTATTAAATAAGTTCACCTCACACCACTAGCGACATCTGGTGAGCGTAAATTATTAGCCAAGCAATAAAAGACAAGAATTTATTCAAAAACGTACACTTATTCACTTTAAATACAGAAAATATATATATCAAGTGCACTTTTCTCAAAACGACGTCGCTGTATCTTACACTGTTGAAAAGTACCGCAGTTTTTAGGTGTCACATCATGTTAAAATATTGGTTACGTCTCTTCGAGCCTTCTCTTTTTGCGAATTGAAGTATACATGTGACATATGCTAGTCACATCTGTCGCAGAAGTGGTAACCATTGTAGAAAACATGTCACAACATGAAATGCGTTGTAAAATATGGTTAATCCAATTATCCAGTGGTTAACTCAATCTATACAATGCGACTTACAGCAACTGGATACGTAAAGCCGAAGATCCTGCTAAGTGACGCGCCTTTGAAGAGGCTTATGTTCAGTAGTGGGCTGCCGCAGGCTGATGATGGTGATCATGATATCGGTAATATAAAGAGATCTTCAAACATTTAGGACAAATAATTGATAGAAACAGGCGTTACTGTGCGGAAATCCATTATAATAAAGATATTAATATTTAATTCACAACAATCCGCTTAATTAAATACAATGATGTGTCTTACCTAGATTGAAGAGCACCTCGCGCCCTCCCGTCACCACTAATTCCAGCACCACTACTCCCGGCACCACTACTCCCAACACCTCTATTCCAAGAAAGACACACCATCGGCGATAATACGACACGTGTTTCGCCACTACACGAGGCATCTTCCGGTGATGTAGACTCTACGATGGCTGACCGCTAGCGGTCTTTTTATTATATAGGACAAAATTTAAAAAGCTCAAATAATGAACTCTTTTTAATATGGCTAAATAGATCGTTTTAATTTAGTATGCGTTTAGAAAATGAAATCCAAACCTTCGATGACCGTAACTGGCTGCGGGACGACGATGAACCTTGGCGCTGACTCCACGTTCGCCAGGTCCGTGTTGACGCGAAGATCGATTTCTGGTCCGGTACTGGAAATTAGGAGAAAACTTAAAGAAAGAGAATTATATAGTACCTCAATCTTATCCCTTAGACTAGGCCGAAATTGAATAAAGGAGAGGAACTGAAGAAACCGTTAAGCTGCGGTGTTTCGTATGGTGAGTGTAGAGAACCAGACTCTTTTTACTGGAAGAATCATTCCATGTTATTCCTCAGGGGTGAAAACACATCTGCATTTTGATTCGTATTCGAGGACTTAAATCAATCGTCACAGGTAAGATAACGATCGCACTACCGCCAAAACTGAATACCGGGTTGAACTACCAGAAATAAATAAAAGTAAGGCAGATCATACGTTCTGTGTACGTCGCAGCGGTACATCACTTGCACTGTCTCTGAATATCGGCTTGAAACTACCAGGAGTACATTAGAATAAGGCAGCTCACACGTGTGATGTAGGTGCTTTGGCATACTCCCGCGTCGTGCGCTGTCTCTGAATACCGGTTTGAAACTACTAGGAGTACATAAATGTAAGGCAACTCACACGTGCTGTGTAGGCGCAATGCTGAGTGCGACCCACAGCGGTACAGCGCTGCGTCATGCACTGTCTCTGAATATCGGCTTGAAAGTACTGGGAGTACATAAAAGTAATGCAGCTCACACGTGCTGTGTAGGCGCGATGCTGAGTGCGACCCACAGCGGTACAGCGCTGCGTCATGCACTGTCTCTGAATATCGGCTTGAAACTACTAAGAGTATATAATAGTAAGGCAGCTCACACGTGTTGTGTAGGCGTGTTGGCGAGTGCGACCACGCAGCGGTACAGCGCTGCGTCGTGCGTTCGCAGTGGATCCAGTTCCAGCGCGCCGCTCGGCGTCAGAGAAACGCGCGCCGTCTCCATGCGGACCGGTGAGCCATTCTTTAGCCAAGTCACCTGTAAATGTTGCACAGAAATGCTAAAAAAATCTTATAAAAAGTAAATAATTGTAAATTTTTCAGATTTATGCTTCAAGTATAGATTACTATTTTTCCATATAAAAGTAAGTAAGCTGCGAGTTAACCCCTAAGATCAAAATACAACTTCGTAACGATCACCGTTCATCACACCGATCATCGTATCGATACCTATATTTTTGTGCTAATGTACATACATTTTAAATATGCATAATGCATAAACACTCACGCCTGTCACCGAGAGGGGTAGGCAGAGACCACGGACTTCCATTTGACACGATCCTGACATACCTCTTTCGCCTCCTTTACATCCATATATCTACGCATACATGCTCGTCGTTTAAGGGTACTTTTAACGTGGCCCATTTTCAAAATATCGCCAATTTGGTCCATAAACTTTTTTCTAGGGCGTCCTTTCCCGACTCTGCCGTTCACATCTGCCATATAAATTTGTTTTGTCACTCTTTCCTCATTCATTCTTTCAACATGACCAAACCACTGAAGCATTCCTTTCTTAATCCTGGTCACAACATCATCTTACATACCACATTTATCTCTTATCATGCAATTTCTCATCCTGTCATTCAGATTCAACCCTAGCATACTCCTTAAAGACCGCATTTCTACAGCATTTATTCTACTTTCGTGCTTCTTCTGCCACACCCAGCTTTCACTACCATATATTAAAGTAGGGACTAACACAGCATTATGAATTACCATACGTGCCTTTTTTGATACATTCTGGTTCCTCACAATAGAGTGTAGTGCCCCATTCACTCTATATATCCTTATCATATCTACCATCCCTGCTAAATACACATCCCAAATACACAAACTCATCCACTTGCTCAATTAACTCTCCTTCTATTCTTATTTCACATACCGTTTTGCTTTCCTCTCTTTCAAAAACCATCACTTTCGTCTTACTTGCGTTTCACTTTCATTCCTCTTTCTTTTAATGCCCAGTTCATTAATGTAACCATCATTTGCAACTCAGCCGCCGATGACGCAAATATGACTTGATCATCGGCATACAAAAGGCATTTGACGGTTAACTCGCCCATTCTTAACCCACATTCTTCATCTTTCAAAGTTTGCAAACACCTGTCCATAAATAGGTTGAACAGCCAAGGGGAAGCCACACAGCCCTGTCTGACACCCTTTCGGATGCCAAACCAGTCCGAGTAGACCCCATTGATCCTGACACAAGCACTAGAATCCCTATAAAGAGACCTCAATGCCTGTATCAAACCAGCGCTCAACCCATATGAGTTCAGTGTTTGCCATAACAAATTCCTGTCCACTCTGTCATAGGCCTTTTCCAAGTCCATGAACGCACAAAAAACTTTCTGGTTTTTGGCCAAAAACTTCTCCGCAATCATGCGCATGGAAAAGACTTGATCTGTACACCCCATTCCCTTTCTAAAACCCGCTTGCACATCCCAAATTTTTCCATCAGTTTCTTTCATAACTCTTTCAATTAACACCTTAGCATACAGTTTACCCACAATACTAAGCAAGCTGATACCACGGTAGTTTTTGCAGTCCTGCTGTGACCCGTTTCCTTTATATATTGGTACTATAACTGCTTTACACCAGTCATCCGGTACCCGTTTTAATTCCCAACATAAATTAAACAAGGTGTACAGCAGGCCTGCCACCACTCCCTCTCCAGCCCTTAGCATCTCGAGTGATACTCTATCATATCCAGCTGCCTTACCTGCTTTCATGCTTTTCATTGCTTTCATTATTTCATCTACACTTATCTCCATACCCCTTTCCACTTCTTTCGGAATTTCTAGTTCATTTAATTCAGACGACTCTTCACTCATAAACACGCTTTCAAAGTATTCCTTCCATCTGTTTAAATTCGAAGCTTCATCATTCAGAATACATCCATTCTCGTCTCTTATAGCATTCATTATAGGCTGTTTTGTATTTCCCCTGGCAGTTCCTACGAGTTTCCAGAATATTTTTATGTTAGCCTGGAAATTATCAGATATCCTTCTATCATTCTTATCCGTTCTTTCTTTCTTTTTCCTTTCAACAACTTCTTTTACTCTCTTAATTAAATAAATTATATAGAAAATATAATTATTTAAAAGAAATAGAGTAAATGGGGCCCTACGCTCTATTGTGAAGAGTCAGAAAGTGTCAAAAAAGGCACGTATGGAAATCCACAATGCTGTGTTAGTCCCTACTTTAACGTAGGATCGTGCCAAATGGCCTACCCTTCTGGGTGACAGGCGTGAGTGGTTATAAAAAGACAATACTCACGTTTAGCTTTAGAACAGGCGGTTGAATGTGCGTTTTCCCTGCCGCACCGTATACGCGTCTTTCGGGCGGCGCCGTGCGCGAGGCTGGCGTGACCCGCATAGCAAGACGCGGCGAAGCCCGCAACGCACACGGCAACAAAGCGGCCGCTCCCAGGGCACCCGACACCGCACGCACTGTCTCCACTATCTCCGGTAACTCTGCAAAATGTAACAATATTTTGTTCATACAAAGATTTACATAAATCGTATCGTAATTCTCACAGAATACCGGCTTAATATAGCAGCTTAACGCTACTGTGTTTCGTAGGGTGATTGTAGAGAACCGGAGACACCTTTTACTGGAAACAAGGCATTAGATCTCAGTTCTCACGGGTGACAACGTAAGTATCTGTATTTTGATTCGTAATCGAGGATAGATATAGATGTCTATGGGCCACAGCAATCACTTACCATCAGGTGGACTGTGTGCTCGTTGACACCCTTATCCTATAACATAAATTATATGAGAAGTACTGATACAGGTTTAAAATATGTTTAGAAAATTGTGCGTCAACTTGTTTATTTCTAATAAAGTTTAACGATGTTTCTTCTCCCGACAGGGGAATCTAAGTTTGAAACGATAGTAGATTTTAAAACATTTTGACGTTTTAAAAAAAATTTAAATTTTTTACATCGAAAAATAAAGAGTTTTCATTTTTTTAATTCATAAAGTAAGGGCACGTTAGTAGTAATATTTATTCAACGACGAGCTAGAAGACAATCCATCTGATCTTAGCAGATATGAATGTAATGCTCCATAGACTCCAACATCTATCCATTATTGAGAATCGAAATGCTAATATGTACTTTGTCATACTGGGAACTAAGATGTAACAAGTCGTTTCCAATAAAAAAGCTCTCCGGTTCTCTATATTCTCTATACGAAACACAAAAACGTTAAGCTGCTATTTTACTCTGGTATTTTGTGAGAGCGTGGTCTTTCACCGGTCGACAAAAGTAGTAGATATGTAGTTTTGTGAATTAATTGCTGGGCTTTAGCCTCTTACTACTCCAGCATACGACGTACGGAGAACGTATCGATATCTATCGATAACTGCGATCTATGTGTGATCAGTTCATCATCCAGTTGCCATATGACTAAGTTCACATCAGAGGCAAGAGGAAGAATTAGCACTTGATCACTGATCGTCAAGGTATAAATTGCACTAAAAGAAAACTGTTTTTTTTTTATAAAAATCAACAATCACTGATAAGTCTGTCCAAACAAAACATTCACACTGTAAACCTTCCCGATTTAAACTATACATCTAATATAACTCACATGGCTCTACCACTAAAAACTAACTTATTTGGACAACGAATACGTAAGAATTGCAAACTCACCGGCTAGGAAGACAGTGGCTATTCTTGACACAATGGTGCCCACGCCGTCCAGGGTCGCAACGCATTGGTACTGGCCTGCCAGGGTCGCTGACATACTTTCTATTACAAGGGAACCATTTGAAAGCTGCTTTCTATAAACAGAAAAAGGATTATATAGTTAAAATTTGGCATGGGCGTCAAGACACCGTCTACATCACGCGACGCATCGCATAGTTGGTCAACGTTGCTCCATGTTTATGAACAATTGTTCGGCGATACGGTTGAAGCAAAGTTAAGCGTTACAGCCTATTAAAGTCCACTGCTGTACATGCCTCCCCCATGGATTGCCACATAGGGGGAATATTCGCCATTGTTGTGACGCTTGGCAAGCGGGCTGGCAACCTTAGTTTAATTTTATTTTTAAGTCGTTATGAGGAAGGTGCTGCTGCTCATCTCCTGATTTTTTCCCCTCTGTCGCCTCTTAAGACACCCACGGGATGATATGTGGTAGTGGATATTATTACACCGCCACCACACGGTTTACAAGCAACCTTGCTGTAATATAATCTGCAATCATCATCATCCCAATCACAACCTATCAAAGTTCACAGCTAAACATAGGCCCCCCAGGGATTGCGTTATAGTTGCCGTGTAGTGGTGGTGTAAGATTATCCACTACCCCATGTCATCCCGTTGGTTTCATAGGAGGTCACAAAGAGAAATGTCCTCCAGATCGACCTTTGATCATGGCGGCCAGATTCAACGAAGACTAACTAGCTGCGCAGGACAGGTTTATAGTGTAATTCTCTCACTCTCATAATCCGATAGAAAAGTAATCCGACACGACCGGAGAAAAATCAGGCGCAGGACCAATGACTTTCCGTGGCACGGGGGTGTGACACCGCCAACTTGACTCCCGGTTGCTACTGAGAATCTCTTGTCAGAAAAATTCAATAGCAGTACCTGAAGATTATGAGTCAATTTAACAACCACTAAACCTAAGAGTCGAAGGGAAAATAAACAGGATATGGGTAGCAGTATGTTCCTTATAACAATTTAATATAATTTAAAAAAAACTGCGGTTACAAAACTGCCTGTCAAGCGTGGCAACTATGGCAAATATCTTCCATAGAACGCAATCTATACTTTGCAAGGTGTTACATACGAACATTGCAGCAGAAGTTTCTTTTACGTAGGAAAATCTTCATGGAGAACTTTCGCTGCGGGGGCAACGAGAAGGTTATGCCGGACTCCTATCGGTCAAAATCCCACGGTGGTCAGTATACGAGTGGACCCGGAATCTCCGTTCGGAACTGGGTCACTCCATCGCTTTGCCACACTATTACCTCGTCCCGAGGGCATTACTTGCTGTCCCCAGCACCCTCGCAGTGCCACCATAATGTTTCGAGCCCACTTACGAGTCATTGTCGTCCATAAAGCGCAATCTATACTCTGCAAGGTGTTACACAATAGCATTGCAGGATAAGCATCGCTGGCACTGTTGCTAAGGTATCGGCCCTCATGGCCATCAGACTCTGGAACGACTTCCCTTTTCACAGTAATTGCCTTTAATCGCCCGATCGACTTGAGATTTGGCATAATGCTCCGTTCTCGACGTAAACACCGACTAGGAAAGGATTTTGAAAAACTCAACCCCTGTGGGAATGAAATAGGTTGTTACAGTTTATGCATATGTATATATTCATAAATGTATATAAGAAAATAATAATAGTAGCTATAGTCCTCAGTAAGGTTATCAAGATGCAATTTTATAGCTAACCTGTATGAATCGGAATTCGACAGTGTGTGGTCGCGAGTGGGCGGAGCGGATGCGCTGTGCCTCCAAGAGACCCTCGCAGGAGCTACTGCCGCGCACGCCAGCAACAGGCGTTCACCAGCTGCCGCAACCGCATCCGTCGGTTCCACAGTCAGCCGCACTCCGCTTTCCGTTTGCTCGTCGCCGCCTGGAAAAGATGGAAAACAAATTGTTAATAGATGGGCATATTACGCGCAGGAGAGTAAACCATGTAACAAGACGAATGTCGGCTAAGTGGATGGATATAAGATTATTATTTTTACTTCCACTATATGCTTAGGAAAAGATGGAATCCAGTCCGGATTAGGGATGACATGCGTAAGAAAGTAATGAGTGAAGAGATGATGGCTAAATAGAGGAGAATGGAAGAGAAAGACATGCTATAACGATCTTAAATTACTTGGAGTAAGGGCAGGAAGAAGAAGATGGACTTAGTATTTTAGACTTTGAAGAAAGATAGTTTACGTGGTAGGGCTACGCTACAGTTATATTATAGTTGTAGCACGAAAACTGAGGCAGGACCACAACCTCAAATAATACTAGGGTAAATAGCAGCGTAATACTGCTGTGTTTCGTATGGTGAGTGTAGAGTACTGGTGACTTTTTATTGGAATCCATCTTAATACTCAGGGGTAACAAAGCATTTGCATTTTGATCCTTAGTTGAAGACACATACGGATGTCTATGGGCCACTGTATTCACTTACCATTAGGTGGAATGTGTGCTCGTTTGTCACCCAATGCCACGACACGGATTTATATCACAATCGGCTGCCATAAATGATCTGCTCTCGTGCTAGCGTCCTTGGTTGCAGTAGTGATTGTCCGAAATATTGTAACGACATATAATTCCAAAATATTGTAACGACACATAATTCCAAAATATTGTAACGACACATAATTCCATTCCGTTACGTTACTGTTACAGGTTATTAAAGTCCACAGCTGAACGTAGGCCACCCCATAGATTAGCTGGATATTTGCCATAGTTACCACGCTTAGCAAGTGGGTTGTCAACCGCATTATTCTATTCAATAATTATAAATACACGATGAAATTTTCATGGTTTTTAAAATGTGGAGCCGTCATGACCGCAGTACGGTCTGGAGGTAATATAAATAATTTGATCTTTAATGAAAATCAGCGTTCTGGTTTCGTCACTACTGAGATGCTAAGTAATGACCTTTTTTGACATGCCTTGCCTGACAAGTACAAAGCCGAATTTATTAAAATTTATGTTATACATTAGTATATTGTTGTACATCAATGATCTGAGCCGAAATAAAATTGTTCTTTCTTTCTTTCTTCCTTTGTCACCGCTGAGGACTAAGGTTTAACGCTCCGTTACCAGTAAAAAGTATCTCTGGTTCTTAACACCCACTATACGAAACACATCTGCCTTAAGCTGATATTTTACACTGATATTACGAATCTAAATGCAGCTGCGTTGTCCGCCCTTGAGAATTATGGAATGCTTCGTTTCCAGTAAAAAGGGGTCTGCAGTTCTCTACACTCACTATACGAAACATGGCAGCATTGGGCTGCTATTTCATGGTATTCTGTGAGAGCGTGGTCCATCCCCGTTCGAGCCGACCAATTGGTGCTGCAACTATAATACGCCGTCTCGTATAAGAGTAGCAGACATTTACAGTCAAGTCTGGCAGCTTTACCAATGGAAGGTAACTTAGCCATCAGCGATGTACAAAATTACGATTAATACGGACAACGTAATGTTTTTCGTGATATGCCATTTTTGGATGAAAAATTTATAACTAATTGACAGCATTATTTTCGATATGGCTACACGAAAGTTAATGTTGGCATTTTATTTTAACGTGGAATTGAGACGGCGATTTAACCTCCTTGTTCAGTGCTCAGGAACTTTTGTTGATTATGTTTGATGTACTGAATATAGGCTATATCTTGTTCAGTGTTCCAGAACTTATGTTGGTTTTGTTTGAAATATTGAATGTAATTAGCTATATCATTGTAATAACGTAATAATAATGGTTAGGAAATGTAATATTTCGTTTTTAACATGGTGGTCGTAACATTTTGTCTATAAAACTGACTTGGCAAAGTTACCATACTAGTGATACCACGATGTGACGGTAACTTTGCCATGTTTTGTTACAAGCAAGGGTTGTTACTTTCAACCTATATTTTTTACCAATTACGACGATTCAAAGAAAAGATTCTGTACTTGACATTCTATGTTTGTATAAATTATTCACCGTAATAAACATAGACCTTTATCTTCAGAATTTTACCAAATGAGTTGTCAAGCGACATCTTTATCAAAAGTGAAGAAAAAGAAAAGTCACATCACGGCCACTTTAGAAAATGGTGTGTACCAGGCGATTCATCACATCAAATAGTCTATCACTCTATAAAAGTGGTTCATATGGCTACTTTCTGGCATGAATTTCGAGGTTAAAGAAAATAAGTTCTTTGCGTCAACAAAGGCTGATATTATTATGCCGATTTTGTCGGTATATTATATTATCTAAATTAATATCCGTCTCTGAATGCAAACAGCACCTTATCTATGATTGTGTCTTCTCCTAGTACATAGGCAACAGTTTTCAACGAGTTGTACAACAATTTTCTTAAAAACATGAAATACTCAATAACAATCTGAGAATGGCACAACAATCCTGCGTCGCGGATGTGGAGTTCAATAACTCTAGCCAGAGTTCGCTAGCGTATGACCACGGAACAAAAAATATACAAAAAAAAAAAAACAAAATGAGCAAGACCATTAGACCAATATAAATTTAGAACTTGAACGTACCACATCCTTGCAGAGTTAATAACAAAATTAGAAGAATCAAATTAAGCCTAACATATCCTTGAATTTTTTTAATTTAGTTGATAGTTGATATAGGCCCTACGAGCGTAGGGCATCAAAAATTATGTAAGACTCATTTGAATGTTCCCCTCCACGGAAATCTTTAGTAAAAGGCGAAAGATTTATACGTTTTGAACGGAAACCAGAGTAGCTGGACAACGATTTTAATATTATTATGCCAGAATTAACCAAACGCAACCATAGCGTGTTATAATTTTAATGTGGCGCCATCTAGTAGGAATATTGTAGTAGCCATGCTGCAGTTATATTGTAGTATAGTTGTAGCACGAATGGGTCGGCTCGACCGGGGAAGGACCACGCTCTCACAGAATACCAGCGTGAAATAGTAGCTTAATGCTGCTGTATTTCGTATGGTGAGTGTAGAGAACCGGAGACCCTTTTTACTGAAAATGAGGCATTCCATCTCAGTCCTCACGGGTGACAACGCATCTGCATTTTGATTTGTAATGGAAGATAGATGTAGATGTCTATGGGCCGCAGCAACCACTTACCATCAGGTGGACTTTGTGCTCGTTTGTTAGCCTATTCTATAAAAAAAAAAAACATGAAATTTATCACTCGTAATGATTTCTTATATTTACGCGAACACTACACATTGAAATAATACTATTTTTTACGGAATTTATCGCGTATATTTAACTTTTTAAATACCCGACGTTTCGAACGCTTATCTTAGCACTCGTAGTTTGACTTATGTGCCGTTCAGTGACTTGAATAACATCTTATTTATGGTATATTTACCTATAGAAAAAAAAACTGTTAACCCATTGGAAGAAATTTCTTTACGAGATAAGTAGAGCCCCTGTACACTCTTCATCATGATGTGTCCTCTTTCTTGTTTGTGTGGATAAAAATTGTTAACTAAATAAATAAATAAAATAAAATAAACATTGATAACTTAATGCCATTATTACATGTTTTATCCTACAATTTACAACTATTATTTTAAAGAGGCATAAATCAAACCTCGGTACAATGCTGACGGCTCACCAGCCAATGATTTACACCAGAATAATAAACCTTATTTTAAGTGCGAATTACGAAAACAAATGGGTAGCAATAGATTTAAGCATAATGGCGTTTATTTTAAATTAGTAATGCATAAACTCAATCACGGATATTCCTTAAAGTACCTACTTACAAAAATTAAACAAAGTTAAAAATGTATAAAAAATTAAACATGAATAATGTGTTATAAGGACTAGTGTATAATACATACACTAGAAACCGAAAAACTTATGATCAAATCGCCAACTTTTAACGATGATGGCACTGTGACCCTCTGCGTAATAAATGTGTTCACTTTAGTACCTCACTTACATTGCTAACAATTGTATTTAATTCATTACGCAGTTCAATGTGTAAAAATTACGACACACTTAGGTATTTTTTGTCTTCGCTTTCTCTCGCGCATTGATGATAATTTATGTTTGGTTATGCTAAATAAATCTGTTGCATAATATCCAAGCGCATATTGTAAATCGTTTTTATGAACCAAACGGGTTACCATCTCCAAGCCTCCTTCAAATTTTGATAAGTTCAATTACGAACTTACATTTATTTTGAAGAAGGAAAATTGTTGGCACAAAGCACAAGCTCTTAAACTTCTGATAACTCTTAAAGCAATTTCTCGAAACACAATCATTGCTATTTTTTTATACAGACGCTGTTTAAGCTTGTTAGCAATTTTACGCTCACCAGATGTAAATGATGTAAATTTTAATAACGAACTTCATTAATCACTGAATAATGTTACAAATAATATTTAATCAGTGAATTATTTAAACGATAATAATTTTCATTTAATTTATTAAATACAAATGTAATTTTAAATGGGGAGAAGCTTAACTTTATCAATAGCACCATTTTTCTCGGAATCACATTAGATGCGAAGTTTCAACGGGGCCCCATGAACGTATAATTTTTTTAAACCTCCATGTTAGATTCCGTATATATCATAACTAGCAAGCAGACTTAGTTCTGCATCATATGATGTAAAAAATATTAACCAATACTCTAATATATCTTTTGTTATTTTTAGCTATTTCCGTAGTATAATGTCGTACGGTCTTGCTATGGGGACACGCGACAGTTGTGAATCGCCCTTCGCGCCTATGGCTTTACAAAAACACTCCAGGAGCAGGGCAAACAAGACTACGTGGAGTTCGGGGCGTTCTGATTAATGGTGGTTAATATAGCGCATAGCGCCATATTATAGCGCGCTATCTCTCCGTAACGCATAGCGCGTGCTATGTAAGTAGTCGCCATGGGGCTATGGCGCTATGACGCTTTGGCGCTATTCATATTGAGTTATTGAGTGGCAATGAGTTCTAGAGTGCGCGCAAGATAACTATGCGCGCGGCCAAAATTGGAACTAATCGTGTGCCGCCATCTTACTGTTTATGGCAAGTGTCTAAACAGAGTGGTAGGTGTCTTGTTTTTATTCTTTTTTGCAGTAATTAATCGTTATCATTATGCCGAAAGTGATTAAAAGTGCTGGCAGTGATGTTATTTTGAAGGTCAAACGTGCTTGTGAAGAAGAACGAGACAATAACGGGCCTATAGTACCGTTTTCCAAAGTTAGAGCCCGCGTTGCATATTTAACAGGTAATTTTTAGGGATGACATACAATAAAATTCCCCAATTTTCTCTATTTGTTCCTTTTTAATTTCCTCGTGTCATTAATATCATGTATTTATAATGCATTGTTTTTATTTTGTTTTAGGTGTTTCTGAACGCACCGTTACCCAGATAAGTCAAGAGGGTAATATAGCAGAAGCTTCATCTTCTAAAATTGTGACGCCGGGAAAAACTAGGAACCGAAGGAAAAAATTTATGATTTAGACGATTTCGATATGTGCGCTATAAGGCATTTAATTCAATCATTTTACGTCGTGAAGAAGGAGATTCCTACCATAAATAAACTTTGGTTGGAATTGAAAACTGATATTGGTTTTAAATATGGCAGAACATCGTTGAGGAGTATTTTAAAGACTATGGGCTACAAATACAAAAGGTGCCAGTCTAAACGAAAAGTATTGGTAGAACGCAGTGATATTGCAGCTTGGAGAGCAAAATATATTCTGAGGTTGCGCAAGAATCGTCAGGAAGAAAATCGACCGGTAATTTATGTTGACGAAACGTATATACATGCTTCATACCACCTTCAAAAATGTTGGCAATCGAAGGAACAGCCTGGTATTCTTGCTTCTGATAGCGTCGGTGCAAGATGGATAATAGCACGTGGTGGCAATAAAACTGAGTTTGTTGAAAACGGACTGCTGCTGTTCAGGTCTAACCCCAAATCGAATGACTATCATGACGATATGAATTCAGCTAACTTCATGCGGTGGATGAAAGAAAAAATTGTGCCGAATCTTCCAACGAATTGCATTGTAGTGATGGATAATGCGTCATACCACTGCACACAGATCAACAAGGCGCCTACAATTGGCAATACAAAAGCAGAGCTCTAAGGATGGCTTACGAGAAATGGTATTACATTTGAAGACTGTTGGACAAAAGCGCAATTATACGAATTAATTAAAAAATACAAAGGAGACCCACAGTACAAAATAGATCAAATGCTAAATGAATATGGACATGAGGTTCTCCATTTGCCGCCTTACCACTGCGATTTAAATCCCATAGAAAAAATTTGGGCAATAGTAAAGAGACGCATTGCAGAGAAAAATATAACTCAAGCTCCTAGCGCAATAGCTGCTATTACTGAGGCGGCGTTTAGAACAGTAACGACAGAAGAATGGTTCAACGTATACCAACATGTAGAAAAAATAGAAGATAAATATTTCCAATCAGATAGGCTGATGGATATGGAAATGGATGAATTTGTAATTAATGTTACAGGTGACACATCCGAGTCATCTGATGAAGACTCTAGCATGGATTCTGATGAAGATATGCGAATGGAAGGCGTTGATCCACTGCAGGACCATTGTTACACCAAATTTATAAATAATAATAGGTATTCAATAAAAGATTTACAAGGTTTCCTTGAACTTTTTATTTCGTTCTTTATAATAAATATTATAATGCTATTTCAGTTGTTTCAAAATACCTTTTTTGGAAAAAATGATTATAGACAAAATATCAGTAGTCATTAATCTTAGTATTAGTCCTTTTTATACACGCATATAATAGGTACCTGTAATTGTGTAAAAAAATTGTAGTGGCGTAGTTAAACTTGTGTAGTGAGGTATCAAACTTATGAAAGTTAGAATCAAGAAATATATTTATTACGCGGATCTTAAACAATAAATATGGGGTTTAAAAAATTATTAGGTCTTTGTAAGTTTAGGCTGAACATTACAGTTTTTTTAATTGAGATTTAGTAATCAATTAGGCAATTTATGTAATTTGATATAATTATACAATTCCAGTAATAAGATTAAACGAAGGAAAAAATATTAGTTAAGCTGGCAACATTAAGCACGCCATCAGTCGCGCGCAGTAATCTTGCGCGCACTATAGCAGCAGCGCAGTTGGGAGTAGACGTGTGACGCAAATTTAATTTAGTAGCATGCTATTCATCGCGCGCGAACTAATTTAGTGTTAGACGTTGTTTAGTTAGTGTATACCATATATTTATAAGTGATCAAAGGACACAGTTTTCTGCTACAAAAGAAGCCTAACTAATGTTTTTAAATGTAAATAAAATATATATACAAAAGTGTATATACATATAATAGTGTTTGTAAATAGTTGATTTTTGTAAATACAATCACTAAACTTTTAAATACACCTTTGATCGATTTATAATTTATATTAAGGTTAAAATAACGTTTACATTAATTATAATAAAAATTATTAATTTTATTTTGTTTTAAAAAGTACATGCTTAAAAATGTTTTTAGGATTATAGGAAGTCGTAAGCCTGAAAAGTATGAAAGAGAGTTCATTGCTTTCTCTTTACCCCTTTATTTTATTTTAATCTAAAATGACCTATTATGAAATAATGTTCTTATAATGTCGCCTCTACACGTTGGCCAACACAGTGGCGAATGGAGTGGCGAATATATTGGCCGAGAGTTGGTGACGGCGTCCACACCATGGAAGGTCGTTCAGTTTACTGGACGAATTTATAAGCACCGTGGCGCAGTGGCTCAGCAATGAGTGGCTGCGCCGGGCGCCGCGGGTTTGATCCCGCACGGAACAAGTATTTGTATGTCCTACAAATAATTGTTTCGGGTCTGGATGTGTGTCCTTCTGCAATTTATGTTTGTAAGCTGCCTGCGCGATACGGGAGAAAATCCTAATGTGGGGTTAACGTTTTTATAAAAGAATTATAAAATAATAGCGTATATTAATGGGGTTGTAAATAGATATACGATATACGATTAGCTTTATTTATTCTTTACATGCATCATAAACTGGAATAAATACCATTAATAAGAACTTAACTTATTTTAAAGTTAAAGGAGTTATAATCGATTAGTCTATGTTTTAAAATTGGGTTTTGATTTTAAAGTTTAGCAAAATATGTACTTGCATTTCTATCAGACATTTGATGTATATAAAAATACCTTATAATTTATTTGGTAATTTAATTATTTTTTGAGAAAGACAAAAACAATAACAATAAATATAATTAACACTGACTTAATAATAGGTACTAATTATAACTTAGAACATAAATGAAAAACTCATGACGAGCAAAGTGGCTCAGGACCATGCTTTGCGGCAGTCTGTGGAGGAGGATGTTCAGTAGTGGACTTGTGAAGAGCTGTAATGATGATGATGATTTGAAAACTTACACGATTAAATTATAAGAATTCGACGCTTTTTTATAGGATAGGGTGACAAACGAGCACACAGTCCACCTGATGATAAGTGCTTGCTGTCGCCCATAGACATCTACATCTATCCTCGATTACGAATCAAAATGCAGATGCGTTGTCACCCGTGAGGACTAAGATGAAATGCCTCGTTTCCTTTAAAAAGTGTCTCTGATTCTCTACACTCACTATACGAAACACAGCATCATTAAGCTACTATTTTACATTGATATTCTGTGAGAGCGTGGTCCTTCCCCGGTCGAACCGACCCATTCGTGCTACAAATATACTTCTAATATAACTGCATGGTTCTACCACGTATAAACGACGTGCTTCATTTTTTTTTCATTTAAAATTGTTCTCGTAATAATCTGATTGTAAATAAAGTTTCATTATTTTTTTATAAATAGCTTATCGATTAAAACAAATGTTTAAAAAATAATTAAATCGCGCTAATTAAAGTAGTAGGAATGTTTAAAGTGGAAATTGCACTAAAATGCTGGTAATTGGGTCATCCACCCTACAAAGCGTGAATATAAAATTTTAATCAGATGCGTGTAATCACTCTGGGAGCTTGTAGCAAACTAAACTCGCTCCCAACGTGTGGACGCGGCGACCAAACTCTGCCAACAATCCTTTGATCTTTTGTAAAAAACCGACACCACACGGATCTCGCGCCAACTTGCGGACCATCGTTCCAATACATACCAATGAAGCCCAAACACCCCGTCTACACGTTGGTCAATGCTATTAGCCACTACATTCGCCACTGTGTTGGCCAACGTGTAGAGGCGCCGTAATGTTGCCTCTACACGTTGGCCAACACAGTGGCGAATGTAGTGGCGAATAT